GTGCTCAATTTGGAGGAACTGTGCTACCCTGAACTCTCTTCACTGTTGCCGTGAGCGCCAGGTGGTGGGCCTAGCCAGTGTGCTCACATTGCAGCCCTAATGACCTGCTCTGTACTCCCAAGAGGTGAAAATGCACAGATGCTTATAGCAGCTTCCTACCCAACTGCCAAACCCTGAGAACACCTACATGGTCATGGAGAGATAGCGATCATCTACATCATGGAATAGTCTTGCCAATCGTCATAGCCCACGGGATCCAGAATGGAAGTGTGTATACAAGCCCACAAGCTGTGGGTTTCATGGGGAAGACATCCTGGACCTGGACAAGCTGGATGGCAAGATGAGCAATGCAGAATGAAGTGAAGAGAGGGGCCTGGGTGTGGGTGGGTTGTAGTGGAGGCTCTATGAAACTGCAACGTGGTGAATTTTACTGTGTGCAAACTACACCTCCACAAGTCTGACTTGTTACAAAGTAACAAAATGTTAAAACAAAAACAGCTAATTTAAGCAAGCCATAGGACTACTTTTGCCAGGGTGTGGTCTTTAGCCAGGAACCCTTGAAATCTGCTCTATGTGCGGTTTTTTCTCTGTTCTCACACAACTCTGATTCTGTCTTCAATATCAAGAACACCATACCCCACCCTCAGAGACCTGAGTGTATTCTAACCACTTTAAGTAGTTTATTTAGAAGATTAAATGCCCAAAGTGACTTACCTGAGTTTCCTAGGATTATCACTGCAAGGAAGTCTGTGATGCTCAGAAGAACTTGTCAGCTAAGACTTCTGGGACATGAAGCTATATAAAAAGTAAAGGATAGGTCCCGGGTGTGAGGATATGGAGCCAGACAGAATAGCACAGGAAATGCTTCAAGGAAGCTTTGTGGAAAAGGAGGCCAGGCCAGTGACGGGTTAGGATAATCATCACACTAACACTGCACTGCACCTTACTTAATCTTTGACTGCCCATTCAGAGTATTCACAAAGGTTTTGGAAATGACATCTTGGATTTCCCAAGAACCTTTGGTGTGCCCCAGATTCAAGAGCATTCTAAACCTTAGGAAAGAGGTCACTGAGGAAAATACTGGGCCATGTATGCTTGTATGTAGCCAGGCAAAGGAATAACAGTTAAGCTACTGCACCCCTGAAAGTGGCCATAACCAAAAAAACAAATATCCATGAGGGAGTAGAGAGCTGGATCCCTTCCTTGTACAGTACCAGGATGTGGAAGTGGTCCAGCTCCAATGGGAAACTATTTGGTGGTTTCTTGAAACCTGAAGTAGATGTACTAAGTGAGCCAGCAACTCCATTCCTAGGTAAATACCAAAGGAGTGGAAAATAGAAACCAATGCAGATAGCAGCATTGTTCACCATAGCCAAAAGGGGGAGAATGGATAAATAGGCTGTGGTAAGTTCGTCCAGTGAAATGTTATTCAGCATGGAGAGGAATGAAGTTCTGATACGTGCCACAACACTGATGACCTTCAAAACTTTATAATAAGTGAAATAAGCCAACACAGAGTAATATAAGGTTTCATTTGTATCAAATTTGATGAGACAAAAGTATCAGTAATTATGCCAGAGGTGTTGGGGAGATATTTGAGATTTTATTACAGTGAAATGAAGAGTAACTACAACTGGCTATAGGGCTTGTTTTCAGGATACAGATGTGGTGATTGGTTGTATACCATCATGGATGTATCAATTGCCATTGAACTGTTCACTTTTGAAAAAAAAATTATGTAATTTCACAATAAAAAATTGTTTTTAAAACAAGGTGGCTGACATCTTTTACCAGCATAAATAAATGATGCATTTTGGTGATTCTTGGTGATGTAATGTGGGTGAAGCCATGCTCTCTGGTATAATATCCCTCAGCTGCTAGCAACATTCAGTTAGATCGTTGACATGCACACCTGAGGAATGTTTGTGTTTTAATTATAGATATTTTAAAAGCTGGTTGCTGTGGTGCATATTTTGAATCCTAGTTCTCAGGGACAGGATAATCATGAACTCAAGGCCAGCCTTAACTAGAAGACTGGGTCTCAAAAAGGGCTTGGGGTTGGGGGCGGGGATGAGGGGCTTAAGAGATGGCTTAGTGGCTAGAACACTTGCTGTGCAAGCATGAAGACTGAATGTGAATCCTTAGGACCCATGTTGGGAGGGTTTGTTTATTTCTTTGTTTTAGCAAACAGCCAAAACCAGACATGGTTGCTTGTGTCTTAAATGGGGAGTGGGGCCAGATCCCAGGAGCTCACTGGCCAGTTCATAGTTCATAGGATAGAGAGCAGTAGAGAAAAATGCCCAACATCCTCCTCTGTTCTCCACTTATACACTCGGGTGTACACACGTGTACTTGCTTGCATGCAACACACACACACACACACACACACAGAGAGAGAGAGCAGAGAGAGAGAGAGAGAGAGAGAGAGAGAGAGAGAGAGAGAGAGAGA